TTCTTACATTCTTGTAAAGCTACTAGTACATATAGCGTTTTGGGCAGGTCTTTAATCTAACAGATAATTTTAAGTAGGTAATTTTTAGCAAAATTGAAAAAATGTTTACAGGTACATTGTAAGAAAATTTGACAAAGATTATAGGTACATTAATGTAAAATTAGAGGGTTATAAATAGGTACATTTTAGTATAATTTGAGGATTATTTCAAGGTATAATGGAATAAAATATGTGTTCAATATAACAACCGTGATATAAGATAATAGCAATGATTCCAATCGTAAAGTTGTATGACATAGGTACATATATTGGGGGATTGGGTAGCACTAGATTCAGTGCGAGTTTAAAGCAATAGGTAGGAAACTATGAAGATGAAATTAGGTACTTTTTGTTTTTGAATAAGGCAGAAGTTGGACAGCTTTTCAATTTGTTAGGGAGTAAGTTCCATAGACTAGGTCCCTTTATTTGCATAGAGTGTTTACACAGATTAAGTTTGACTCTGGGGATATCAAAGAGATATTTATTTCTGGTGTGGTGATTATGGGTTCTATTACATCTGTCCAGGAAGAGTTTCAGAACAGGGTTTGCATTTAAGAACAGGGTTTTGTAAATGTAAATGGCACAAGAGAATGTGTGGAGTGAGTTTATGTTTAGCATGTTTAGGGATTTAAACAAGGGGGCTGAGTGTTGTCTGAAAGCAGAGTTTGTTATTGTTCTGATAGCAGATTTTTGCTGGGTGATGATGGGCTTGAGGTAGTTTGCAGTGGTTGAACCCCATGCACAGATACCATATGTAAGATAGGGATAGATTAGCACATAGTATAGTGAGAGGAGAGCAGAGTTTGGAACATAATATCTGATTTTAGAAAGTATACCAACCGTTTTTGAGACTTTCTTGGTTATGTGTTGTATGTGGGTGCTGAAGTTGAGTCTCTTGTCTAAGTATAGGCCAAGGAACTTTCCATCATTTTTATTGCTGATGTTAACATTGTCTATCTGAAGCTGAATTGCATTTGTTGATTTGCTTCCAAATAAGATGTAGTAGGTCTTTTCTATGTTTAGTGTGAGTTTGTTGGTTGACATCCATAAGTGGACTTTTTTTAATTCATTATTTACAACATTATTTAATGTGTGTGGGTTGGGGTCTGAGTAGATGAGGGTAGTATCGTCAGCAAATAATATAGGTTTAAGAATGTTAGAGACATTAGGCAGATCATTGATGTATATAAGAAATAGGAGAGGTCCTAGGATGCTGCCCTGTGGCACTCCTACAGTTAATGGTAGAGTGGGAGAGGTTATATCATTGATGGCTACATATTGGTGTCTGTCACTAAGATAGGATCGGATATAGTTCAGGGCAAGGCCTCGGATTCCATAATGGTGGAGTTTAAGTAAGAGGTAGTTATGGTTAACAGTATCAAAGGCCTTTCTCAGGTAGATTAACCCTTACCGTGAGGTTACCTTGTGTTGATTCTGGGGGTCAAGGTCCCCCATGTATACGTAGTAAAACCAAAACAAAGTACTCTGTAAAACCCCTAAAAGATGAAACCAAGTTATATTGGACAATAGAAGGGCAGCAAACACTCTGAATGAATACTTTACATTAGTGTTCACACTAGAAAGATTGAATGACATCCCATCACCAACACAAATGTTTGAAGGAAGTGAAGAGAACTAATTTAAGGGATATACCCATTACATGTGACACAATCAGGAAGAGCATTGACAAATTTGAACACTCATAAGCCCCAAGTGTGGATGGATTTCAATCCAAAGTCATAAAGGAACTGGCAAATGCGCTATGCATACCAATGAAACTCTCTTCAGAAAATCCCTGGACCAAGGAATAATTCCCTTGGATTGGAAATACTTAAAAAAAAAAAAAAAAGGCAGAAAGAGCTCGGCAGAAAATTACCGTCCGATCAGCTTGATATCACACATCTGCAAGCTCGTGGAAAGAATCCTAAGGGAGGGAATCATACATCATCTCACAGAGAACAATCTTGTAAAATCAATGCAACATGAGTTTGTTAAAAATAGATCCTGCCTCACCACCTGTTCTGGAGCAGCCTACCCAACAAACTCTGAACGAACCTTTATGGTATTTGTCTGTTTTTCAAATTGTTTCAACTGTTTTTTTTATTTTATTTTTTTTTTATTTAAGAAACATGGAGCAGCCTACCTTCTGAACACTGAATGAACTTTTTGACATTTGTTGTTTTCAAAATTTTTCCTTTTTTTTTATTTTAATTTTTTTATTTAAGAAATGTGGAGCAGCCTACCTGCCGAACACTGAACGAACCTTTTTGACATTTGTTGTATTTCAAATATTTTAATTTCTTTTGTCTACAAAAAGGTAAATGATTTGCACCATCTCAGCAGTCACCCCTTTATATCCCAACATCATTAGCATCTTTAAACAAAAACAACATACAGTAATTTATTTGCATTGTTAGAGGCGTCCGAGAATGTGCTAGAAGCAGCGCGACCCCACCATGTGGTGTTGTCGTTATTCAAACGAGCGGTCGCCATATGAGATGAATTGTCGGCAATCTGGTCGATTGTTACCAAAATGCTCGCCATTTGAGGCGATCGTCACTTGAGGTTCTACTGTATCAGTATTTAAGTAATCCCTGAGTATTCCTGAAGAATTTCCTACCCTTCTCTAGGACCTAAACTCAAAAGGATCATGAGTAAAAAAACAGGAACTCCTCCCAGAGTTATAGAACCTCTGGAAGCTTTTCAGAAATAGAGGCTACCCAAACTGAGCACTGAAAAAAAAAGCTGCAGAAAAACTCAGAAACCTAGAAAGGGGTGCACTTCTACAAGCAACCAAAATAAAAACAATCCAGACAGATGGATCCTACCAGCACTCTTCTCGCCAGGGCTTGATGGCTATCTACAACTGAACCTACAGGACATATGGGATTGGATAAGGGAAACATAGGGAGACCACCCGGTTTGACCCCTTTTTCCAAAGATACCCACATTTGAAAGATACCCACAGAAAGAGCACATTTCTCACAGACAATAATCTCTTCTGATGGTGCTACAACCTGTAGAGGGGGCACCAGCTGAGCAACTTACAAAACACCACTGTCAGCGGCTATAGGGGTGGGGGGGGCACACAGTCAAAAAATAGACAGACATGAGGCACCTAACTATTGAGTAGCACCACTAACATGGATTCCTTATAACTAAGTCCCTAATTACTGCTGGGTAAACAAAGATGGATGCCCACAGGAGTATTTGTATGTTAAGACCTTCAGTTACATATGATGTACAGAATTGTATTTAGGTTGGATATAGATCATTATCATTCACTATATTGTACTGTACTTTGTGATTTTCAATATGAACTTACAATATTGCATTTATAATAGTTGTCCTGTCACTTGGTCCTCTATAGTTACTATCTTTCATCTAAATTTTCTCCCATCATATCCCTCTTCCCATTGTACAGTAATAGCAAACTACAGTATATCAGAACTATAACAAACTCTGTCTTCAGACAACACACAGCTCCTCTGTTTGAATCCCTAAACATATATTCACTCCACACATACATACACTTGTGCTTTTTACATGTACAAAGCCTTAGTCCTAAATGCTAATCCTGATCTGAAACTCTTGTTTGATGAACTAAGTCACCGTGGTGTAGTGGTTAAGATGCTTGCCTGGCGTTTCGCGAGCGCTTTATCCTGGGTTCGTTTCCTGGCCGGGGAGGATTTACTGGGCGCAAATTTACTGTAGCCTCTGTTTAACTCGACAGTAAAATGGGTACCTGGTTGTTAAACGATTTTTTGCAGGGATCTGATTCTAGGGAACATAGGATTAAGGACTTGCCCGAAATGCTTCGTGTACTAGTGGTTGTACAGGAATGTAAGAACTCTTGTACGTATAACAAAAAAAAGTCAACTCTCTTACCAGGAAAGGGTGAGGACTTCAGGACTAACAACACTGTAAACCAGACATGATAGGGCTGATCTCATTGAAACGATTAAAATATTGAACAATTTGGAGGAGGTTGATCCAGACACCTTCTTCAAAAGGTCAGACATAACACACAAACAAGATGCAATGATTTCAAGCTCAACAAACCACACTGTAGGACTGAAAACAGGAAGCAGTTCCATGCTTTTTCATCCACAGGGTTATAAATCTATGAAACTGCCTATCTGCCAAAGCTGTAAATATAAAATCTCTGAACTTTAAAATCCAGCTTGAAAAAGTCATCAGCAGAAATGGGGGTGGGGCCTTTGACAAGCTACTGGCTTCCTGTCCTCGTTGAGGCCACTAGAATGTTAGTGGCCGTCACATAAATTCAGATGTATAAACCAATAACCACCACACCAAAAATAAATATCTCTTAAATATTCCTAGAGTTCGACTAAATCTGTGCAGATGCTCCATGCAAATAAAAGGACTCAGTGTATGGAACGCGCTCTCAAATGAATTTAAAAAAGTTGTCTAACTTAGACCTGTGCCTTATTCAAAAGTAAAACCAAAAAGTGCCTAATTACTTCCTCGTAGTTTCCCCATCTTGTATTACCCCACTCACCCAATTTAGTACATAAGATATTCAACTTCATCAATATAATCTATTCTTGCAATTTGTAATGTAATTTTTATGTTTAACTCAAATTCTGTTACCTTTATTGTTTAGCTTAAGGACGTGCCTTAAATGTTATGCATGTTAGTGGCTTTGCAAGAATGTTACTCAAACTCCATCGTATGTACTTTCTCAACCCAATGTACCTTCTTTTGTATATAAATAAAAAATAAATAAATCAATAGTCATCAATCTTTTCTGCTGCTCAATTAAAGTGAATTCATTAGAATTCACTTTAATTCTCATACCCCTTTCTCTCTCCTCTTTGTGAAATAATTATAACAAGTATTAAGTAGTAATACCATATTTGACATCTGGTTTATTTTATTATATTTAAATATAATGCAGTGTATATCATTGCACTTATGCCAAATGATGGTCTTTGCAGGAATGGTGTAGTTGTGTGAGCAGTGATGGGCTTTCCTACAAGTGGCAGCATGGGTTCCGGGGTGACTGGCACACCCATATCAAGACGGCAGATGCGGTTCCTAGTGGCTGTTGTGGCTGTACTCACGTTTGGTACAGTACTCACAGCTCTCAATGTCTATGAACTACACAATCTGACCCGTGAACACTGGATCAAAGACCATGTCAATGGTTTGTATTTGGGATGGAGATTCAAGAAATTGTGTAGCTTTGGAGGTGAACGTGTGTAGATTGAAAAACGAGGTTGCATGTGTATAATGTAGATAAAAGTAGAAGAAAGTGACATAAGTTTGCTAACAAAGTATGGGGCCCAACATCAGGGAAGTATACATCATATTATCCAACCAGTATGTAGAATGCTAGACAAAGTAACCCCCAAATGTGCCAGATTCCCCACTCAAAGGCATTACTGTATCTAATTTAGCGTATTCATATAATCTGCAATGTAATTGAAGGCATATGCATTTATTGCAGTACTGTATACAGTGATCAACCTGCCAAATGATCAAATCATAAAGTAAGTGATTGAAAAATGCACCACATTAAAAAGAATAAAATTTGCATGCTCACCAACGTTTAGTGAGTTGTTCCATGTACAATCTTGGAATGAAGTCCAGGAGATAGTATTTGGGCTAATTTTTTGTTGTAAAATTCATTGAAAGTACTTGTTAACATCCACCATGTATTTATTAGGCTTTTACACCCCCCCTCAACTTCCTCCTCTCAAATACTTTATCACCATATTTTTACTCTCTTATTCAGTTGTTTTGTGCACTAGACTATGCAGTAAATTTGCATCGAACCTATCAAGTAAAGAAATTAAAAGGAGCAAGAGAGTACGACTAGATCAGCATACCTGTACACAAGTCTCACCCTTTAGAATGGCATTAGTTGAAATAAAAATTCAATCTCCAGGAAGAATCTAAGCAGTCCACATTGCAATAACTAAGACGAAACTGATAAGCATTATAGAGACTAAAGATATCCAAATAAGGTAACAGGTAATACGACAGGAAATAAATGGGTGAAGAAGACATAGCCCTCCTGATTCAGCACTGGAACTTTGAAGAAATAGGAATACCAGGGGGTAACCAACCAGCATGACTACGTATTAGGTGTGACAACAGTGGGGACTGTGAAGATAGTAGTAACAGTCATTTACATCCCAGCACTAAATACGAGGAAGGCCAAAGTAAGAATACAACAAATACAATGAAGCGTGCTTGAAGATGGTAGAAAAGATTCATATTGGCAATGAAAGCAAGATCGAAAATCCTAATATTTGGGACATTAACCACAGGGAAATAGACTGGAAAATGAAGGATCCTCACAGACAAACATTTCTAATGGTTGCATATCACAGTCAAAAAGGGGAAAAAAAAAGAGGATCCACAACTACTCTTCACCTAATGTTTATCAAAGAGGAAACTCTACAGATCAGCTTTTTATTGTGTGAATTGCAGTTGAAAAATTTATAGCAAAGGGGAGAAAGTTGTATACTGTATTTCTGGAGGGGTTGAACAGTGGCTGTTACTAACTGTATTGAGATAGCTCTACACATATGAGTCACATCAGCCCCAGGAGTCCTTAATAGCCTACCGGAGACCAGAGGCCAAAACCTGGCCCATCCTCATAGAGATGAAGGGAGCAGGGGATTCTAGGTCACCCTCACTGAAGAAACAAACTCCCCAGAAAGGTATTGAAGCAAAACAGTTGCAAGGTTCTCAGAAGGTAAACAATGCAGCAAATGACTACAAACAATCCACCCAGTAGTTAGGTCATACTACCCCTAGTTACTACAGTCCGCTGACAGATGGCATCACTGTGGAACCTATTGGCTCTCTACGTCAACAATTCTCTGTTCTTCTGATTTTAGACACGTCTGGCCTGCTCCTTGAGCTGCCAGCCCTTTGGGTTCCAACTTTTCTAGATAAGTGTTGGCCATCCTTTGGACACTGTCCTGTAGGGGCCCATTTGATTATGTATTGTTTAATATTTTGTACTGTATTTGCTTCATGTGCATATGTTTAGAAGCCTCACTCTGTGTACTTTGGAAACTGTTCATCTTGAGCGGCATGTGCCTAAGGCAGTTCATCCCAAGGTGCTTGGTGATGTTACCCCCTGCCCTGAAAGGGTTGCTTCCCTGGTGTGTTTGGGTATTCATCCCATAGAGGCTGGTCTCCTTTGCAGGGTATTTCAACATGAGTAGTCCAAGGGTCTTTGATTCTTGTGTGAGTCTTTGAGGTTAAGGGGCATTTTGTGGTTATTGTGAAAGGGGTGCACTTGAGTTCAAACAGAATGACGCTGACTCTCTTCACAGCCACGTTCATTTGTACTGTGTTTGGTGTTGGTTCTTTCAGTGAGCATCTCTAGTGCCTGGGTATTCTGCTTGCTCTTTGCCTTCAGGTCCTGGTAAACCCTGTAATTCTCTGGTGTGGTTATGGATTGGCCCACCGAGTCCACACTTGCAAGATGTGAGTGCTGGGATGTCTATTAATTTTGTTATATGCCGATGGTCATTCAGTGTCTCCTCATGGCACCTATTGGGTGGGTGATACCTTCTGCTTGGAGTCCTGTGATGTTGGGATTCAACCCGAAAAGCCCAAAAATTGTGGGACAAAGAGCTGGCAAAAGGGTCGGATGCTATGCCACAATGGTGTCAAAGGGGTGAAATGCAAAAGGGCTGGCACCAGCCCTGAATAGAACCAGACCTCTGTTATACATGATTGTGACATTTAGTTGAGTAGAAACCCTCCTCAGGTAATGCAATGGCCTGAAAACCTAACCCACCCAAAGATCTACCTCATCCAACAACAGGCAAAGTCCCTACCCAACCAGACCACCTTTGAAAGGAAAAAGCATCTTGAGCCAACAACATCTGATCAATCACGTGGTAAAAGAAAACCATCACCAAAAAAACTGAGACGCAACATCCTCGGAAAAGAGGAGTGGCGAAAATGGAGAGGCTGCCACAAGGGTAAGAGACTACACTGAATCTAAACAATGGGCCAGCATGACCTGCCGACATACAAGGCAGGGTGAATAAAAGGCCACCACTTCCTCATGAAGGAGGGGCAAACATCTTGGGCAAGACTACAGGGCTGGGACCTTAGGCTGCAAGACCTTCGCACCTGGAGTGGAGTCCAGCAAAGCCACATTCCAACGGAGATGCTCAGCAAGTGCCTCCACGAGAAACCAGGCATGTACAGTACAACCGCAGCCAAGTGTGAACGCACCATGTGGTCATCCACAATTAGAGCCCAAAAAGTGTAGGCAATTGCACACTTGCAGTTGCCTACACTTGCCCACATCCTTGGTAAGCTCTAGAGCAAACAGGTAGGACTGAAGTGGGGCAAGTCAAGCCTTGTTCAGAAACACTTGAAAGAGGGAGCTCACCTTCTGCCAATCAAGCACATGGAAGTGACAGAACCCTTGCCAAGATCCAAGGAAAGAAGAGGGTTGTCAGCACACCAGGATGAGCCCGAGACCTCAAACTATAAACAAAAAGGAGATAGCTCATAACTCAAAAGAGGCATGGTCCATCATAGAAAAGTGGTCCGAACATTGCAAGGGGTACAGAAGCAAATTTGCATGAACCGCCAAAGGATCAGCACAGGAGGAAGGAAACCTCCAGAAAAATGACAAATCCAAGTCATCTAATAGAACCCGGAAATGAACCCGAAGGGTAGCAGCTGAACAATCCAACTCATACGTGGCAGGGGAATGAAAAATTATTCCCATGCAACATAAGACCCTCCACAGAGGAAACAAAGAACTCATCAGGGCTGCAAGGCACCCAAAGGCACTCCTCATCCCTGGAAACCTGCCTCAGAGGCCCTGGGGCAGAGCCAGAGTCCTCACCCAACACCTGAGACAGGAAGGTGTCCTTCCAAGGAGAAGGCTCTGGACAAGGATCGGTTATGAATGCATGTACCCCAAACCTCCGGTGGAACTGGAATGCTCAACTACCTCTACCGTCGATGCTGAAGGAACGAAGACTAGAAGAGGGGTGAACCACACCTGCAGGGGAAGGAAGAGGATGTGAAGACTGAGTTCAGATGGAGATCATTAACGCCTCCAACTCCGGGTCCCTATGTACCACAGGGGGCAACTTCCGGTCTTCCAGACAGTCAGTATGCTGTGAATACTTTACACGGGCAAACTTAGCCTGTAAAGTGGCAGCTGCCTGGAAAGCCTCCAATTAGGAGGTGGAATCCATCAAGGCTACCATCTCACCCAGTGAGAACACACCTCACATAACTCATGGTTGTAAACATCACCGACCTAAAAGGCAGCACGGTGACAAGCTAAAGACTGATTATCGTCAGGTAGTAATGATGATGAACACCCCTCAAACTTGCGAAACATGAGATCGAGCTTTCTGGGGCTGCTCCATAAGGACCATGACAAAGAATCCCTTGAAGGGGATTCCCAGGGCCAGAAAAAAAACAAGTGGTTCCCCAGGCACAGGGAGTCACTTGTCTAACCACCCGACTGCGGGAGGCACCCATAGCATGCTGTGTAAACAAGCCCGCAAATCCACAACGTGCCCCAACACAACCAAAGAACACCCCCAAATCAAAGGCTCAGCAGAGGAAACAAGACCACTGAAGAGCCCAACACGAGGCCGTCATCCCAGGGGCCGGCCTCACAGACAAAAACCCTCGAACACACTAGAGAAGGTAACTCAGGCTTTGCAAAGGCAGCATGATTGGGCATGCAGGAAAGAAAACCCTGAGTACATGCAGCCTGAAATGCGCAAAGAGTCAAGCCCACACATTGAGCTGGAATCAATACATGCACATGAAGCTATACTAAAATTGTAAACAATACAATATAGCAAATGGTCCCACAGGACAAACAAGTCCAAAGAAGGCTGACACTTAGCTTGAAGCTTTGGGGCTCGCATGACCAGAAGCACTGCAAATTGGTATAGTGACACCATCATCAGGAACAAAACTGACTTGAGTAATTGGCTGGGAGCTGGAGCTGGGCCACCTGGTGGTGGTAATCAGTGTTAATGAGTTTTGAGCCCATTTGAGTGAATCCCTTGTTCTATGCAACTTGTTTGTGGTAGTTGTTTGGTGGTTCTCGAAGCTTCATTTTCTGTCAACCCTCCAGTTGTCTGTAAAGCTGTGTTGGCTTTCTGGAAGCTTTTTATGGTGAGGTAGCAGATTGTCACCTGCTCTCTGCACCACTGTAAGGGGGCCAGGTTCTTTCCATAGTCCCCAATAGGCCAAACAATTAGTCATGGCTTATGTAACATTTTAGTGTAAATCTATCACAGGAAGATAGCTTCAGGGAGCCAGAGGGGCTCCTCCAGAAATTGGCCATAAACATTACCTTCAATGCTGGGGTTTTGCCAGCTGCTAGAGCCACAATGTGTGGGGCCTGCTGGGGTGTCTCCTGGGACCTTAAGTAAAGTTGGTATTTAATCCCTCCTCTAGTGCCATAGGTCCTGGGTCAGGAGTCTATCCCACAACTCATCTCGACTTAGCTGAACTTAAGGGTGGTCGAGTCTTACTCCTCATTTTGGTGGGTGTCCCGGTTATTCCTGGTCCACAAGTGGAATTCGATGAACCTATGGTACATTTTCAACTCACAGGATTGAACCACTCATTCATTGCCCAACCTTTTGCACTGACCTTTTATTTTAGCACAATTCTGCCTGGTTTTGCTGGTGGGTTCCTGGATGGTATCCCTGAATCTCCATGATGTATTTACTATTTGTTTGTTTGTATTTGTGCCTGTAGAATCGAGTTATTAGCTCTTGGACCCCTCTTTCTGACCAATCTATTTTTCCTCTATTAAGTCTACTACTACATATATTTCTATCTAACACATGCACACACATATACATCCCCAGGAAACATCCCAAAGCAGCTGTCTATCTCCCAGGTACCTATTTACTGCTAGGGGAACAAGTACATCAGGGTGAAAGAAACTCTGTCCATTTGTTTCTGCCTTGGCCGGGAATCAAACCCGGGGCTTTAGGACTACAACCCCTCGAGCGCTGTCCACTCAGCTGCAAGGCCCCATGTGACTGTCATGTCTTGATTCATCTGAGGTTCCATTCTGGTAAAGGTCACTTGTTGGCCTAGTGGAATCTGGATAAGCTGAAGAGGCATTATGTCCCTGACATTAGGAAACAAAACTGTGTTTAAATTTTTCAGACAGGGTCATTACTATCGTTATTATTTTTTTATTGAATGTAGTCATATTTTTAATCCCACAACCTTTTGCTATATTTCCTCAGAATTATGGATTGTATATATATTTCTAGTAAACAATAGAATAACTTATGATAAGCAAATAGTTTTTCTGCCCGAAACGCTCTGCGTGTTAGTGGCTTTACAAGAATGTAAAAAAATCAATGCTATGTACTCTCATAAACACAATGTACCTTCTTTTGTGTGTGTGTGTGTGTGTAATTACCTAAGTGTAATTACTTAAGTGTAGTTACAGGATGAGAGCTACGCTCGTGGTGTCCCGTCTTCCCAGCACTCTTTGTCATATAACGCTTTGAAACTACTGACGGTCTTGGCCTCCACCACCTTCTCACTTAACTTGTTCCAACCGTCTACCACTCTATTTGCGAAGGTGAATTTTCTTATATTTCTTCGGCATCTGTGTTTAGCTAGTTTAAATCTATGACCTCTTGTTCTTGAAATTCCAGGTCTCAGGAAGTCTTCCCTGTCGATTTTATCAATTCCTGTAACTATTTTGTATGTAGTGATCATATCACCTCTTTTTCTTCTGTCTTCTAGTTTTGGCATATTTAATGCTTCTAACCTCTCCTCGTAGCTCTTGCCCTTCAGTTCTGGGAGCCACTTAGTAGCATGTCTTTGCACCTTTTCCAGTTTGTTGATGTGCTTCTTAAGATATGGGCACCACACAACAGCTGCATATTCTAGCTTTGGCCTAACAAAAGTCATGAACAATTTCTTTAGTATATCGCCATCCATGTACAGTATTTAAATGCAATTCTGAAGTTAGAAAGCATAGCATAGGCTCCTTGCACAATATTCTTTATGTGGTCCTCAGGTGATAGTTTTCTATCTAGAACCACTCCTAGATCTCTTTCTTTATCAGAATTCTTTAAAGATTTCTCACATAATATATAGGTTGTGTGGGGTCTATGTTCTCCTATTCCACATTCCATAACATGACATTTATTAACATTAAATTCCATTTGCCAAGTGGTGCTCCATATACTTATTTTGTCCAGGTCTTCTTGAAGGGCATGACAGTCATCTAAATTTCTTATCCTTCCTATTATCTTACCATCATCAGCAAACATGTTCATATAATTCTGTATACCAACTGGTAGATCATTTATGTACACAATAAACATCACTGGTGCAAGAACTGAACCCTGTGGTACTCCACTTGTGACATTTCTCCATTCTGATACATTGCCTCTGATTACTGCCCTCATTTTTCTATCAGTCAGAAAATTTTTCATCCATGATAG